TTGATTGAGAATTCATTAAATCTGTAAAGCAAGTTTTGAGAGTAAGGCCATTTTTACTATATTGGTTCTTTCTATTCAAGAAAAAGGGATATCTTTCCATTGTTTAATATATTCTTCAATCTCCTTTTTCAGAGCACTGTGATTTTCAATATAGAAGTCTTTTACTTAATTCGTTAGATTGATTTGTAGGTATTTTTTGTGCTGCTGTGAAAAGTGTGGTTTCCTTAATTTCTTTCTCAATGAGTTTGTTATTCAGGTACATGAGAGCTACTGATTTTTGAGTGTTGGCTTTGTACCCAGCTACATGAAAACCTTGATTATCTTGATATTCCACAGAACATCCCAGCAGTTATTCCCTGGTAATGTCATAGAAAGTTCAAAAGCTTGCCGTATCAGTGGAGGTCCTAAAGATCTAGTGGTCTACTTCCTATCAGGATGTATTTCTTAAAGTAAAAGAATGGGTTGTCCAAAAAGGAAGCATGATGCTTGGTGGGCCTCTTCAGATTTTGGAAGAAACGTACACTACCTGTGAATGTGTTGCCCTACTCTTCATGAGGCCTTTGTGTTGAGCAGGATCCAACACAAGGAAAGCCTTTGCCATCAGGTCACACAAGCTCTCCTGCCACGTCTACCCAAACCTGACCACCAAGTAGTAAGTGGGAAGGTGATACATTCTCCCCACGAATTATTCCACACAGCTTTGGTCAAAGAAAGCCTCTTAGTGGAGGATATAAGACTCACTGCTAGAAAAGAAGGCTGAGTCTTCCCAGTCAACAAGAGCATTTAAAAGGTTCCTGTGTTTCCAAGAAACTTTGTTTCTAAAGACTCATCTCAGAAAGTATGGTCCCTAAGTTAGAAAAGTCACACAAAGCAGTTTCCTGCTCTACAGCGACACAATCAGACCTGGGAACCATAGGCTTCCTTCCACCCAGTCCTCTAGACCGCAAAGTCATTGTCCAAGTGTTTTAAAGTATTCCTTTTTCAAAAATTTTAAATAATAAAGTATTTCTTTGTCACCAGGGCCATCAGCAGTTAAGATGATGCTGGCAAATGATGCAAAATAAGGACAAAGAACATCAGAGACCTGGGAAAAGCATCTCTAAAGTAGTGACTATAGCCAATCTTACCTAGCATACCTAAGGGTGATTTTTTAAATTTTTATTTCAATTTAATTTTTAAACAATAGAAACATAAAATTGTATATAGTTTGGGGGCACCATGTAATGTTTCAATACATAGAAACACTGTAAATACATAGAAACACTGAAGTCCCAGTAAACATGGCTACCTCCTTAAAACAGTTATCAATACAGTGAAAACATTCAAGACCAAGGCTGATTTTTTAAAAAATGTTTTACATTACAAACAACCATAGTTTCTGGCAAAATAGACTCCTTCCTAGCAGAGACAGTGGCTACCCCTTCCAGAAAAGTCCCCAAATCTGCCCTGAGAGGCCAGAGGAAGGGAAGCCTGAGAAAGGGTGCTGAACCTCAGGCTGCAGCAAGACCTGAAACAAGTGGCATCTGCTATCCCCCTTCTGACAGCTTGGAAAGATGGCGGCTGCTATGGACTGACATTCTGTCCCTCACCACCACTACCCACATTAGTTTGTTGAAACTCTAATCCCTGATGGTATGGTACTTTGAGATAGGACCTTTGGAGGACTTCAGGTCATGAGGGTGGAGCCCTCCTGATGAGATTAGTGCCCTTATAAGAAGACACAATAAACTAGACCTGGTGATTTGTAATCCACCAATCAGGGGCTGAGGCAGGAGGATTGCCATAAATCAAAAGTCAGCCTGGGCTACAGAGTGAGTTTAAGACCAGTCTGAAGGATACAGCAAGACTCTTCTGAGACAGAGGCAGAGACACACAGAGAGAGAGACAGAGTATTTTCTTTGCCTTGGAAGGATATCAGCAGAAGATCCTTGTCTGAAAGCCAGGAAGAGGCCCTTCTCACTCTACAGTGATCAGCCATTGTTTGGGTCTTGGACTGCTCTGTCTCCAGAACTGTTAAGAATAAATGTTATTTGTGCCACCCAGTGTACATTATATTTGTCATAGCAACCAAAGCCGACTAAGACAGGAGCCAGAAGCCGGTGAGTCCTGATGAGTGAATCCTGGACATCCTCAGCCAAACCACCCAAGAGGAATCTCGAGGCGCAGCCTGAAGGGACACGCGTCACCCACAAGACATGTGCCCCTTCTCCCTCCGCCTCCCCAAGAGCACCAGAAGGGAGCCCAGGCCCATCCCTGGGATGGCTGAGTGGCCAGACTGAGAAGCAGAGCCGGGGTGCGGCTTGGGGCTGGGAACCCAGAAGGAAGGGTCTGCGGGCAGCATGGTGACCAGGCAGGCGCAGAGGGCCCTTGCATGTGTGCGTCCATTCCCCGGTGCACGGGAAGGGCAGCTGCCCTCTGGTCTGAGGCTGCCGCCACCTCCTGGCGCTTGGGGAGGACACAGCCAGGACAGAAGTGGCCGCAGCCCAACGCCTGCGATTCTGCTGCAGACGAGGCTGGACGGCCGGGTCTACGCGCGGGGCCGTTGGTGTAGGCACCGACCTGGGACCGCGACGCTGTCCCGACCCGCACGGGTGTCGGTGGCGGCAGCCGTGCGCTTCCCGCCTGGGCTCTCCAGCCCCAGGCAGCAGGTCCCGAAGGCTCCCTTCGCCCCGGCACCTTGCGCTTCCCAGCACCCAGCTCCCCGCAGCCGGCCTCAGGGCTCAGCCTTTCTCCCTCCTCCCGGTCCCGGGGAGCGCAGGCAGCGAGCAGGCAGGCGAAATGCTAAGGTACTAATTGTCTTAATGAAAATGGCAAACACATCCTTCCATCTGGCAGCACGAAAGAAGAGGCTTTTGGAGATACAATTATCCACTACGGGAGAGAGTAAAATATTTGTCAGGGTTAGCAATCAAACTAATATCCCCAATTACTAGCACCCCACTAATGCGATTGTGACATGGCCAGGGCAGGTAGGTATAGAGATAGAGGTGATACATAGTTATCGTCCTAGTTGCAAGGACGTACCACCTACTTGTGGCGTAAAAATCCAAAGGGTCTTTTTTTTCCAGACCAGGAATCTCTGCCTCTGAGACAGGCATTTTGCATATCTGGAGATTCAGGGCAACGGAGATTGAGATGATGCCCTGATGTCTGATTGTCAAATACACACACACACACACACACACACACACACACACACACACACGCTGACGTTGAGACTGCAGCTGGGGCTGATGTCCATCTGGAGTCTGTACTCCCAAGATTCCAGAGGGCAAGGCCAGCAACCCCTCGCACCACCAGTCACCTTCTGTGCCTTGCATACAGCCTTCTCCATCCTCTGCAGCCCACCGTAGTAGCCCACTTATGGTCAGATATATTTGCAATTTCTGACATTTTTTTCCTTTGTGAAATCTGTATACAGCAAAAGCTGGGTTTGCTTTAGGCAGAGCATATGCTTCGTATTTATTGGAAGAAGTTTTCGAGTTCCTTAGCATTCTGTTCACTGATATTCCGTATGTTAAAAATATCTCTGCATTTTCCCCTGATACTCAATAGTAGGCAGCCACAGTTTTCCTCTCTAGTTTTTCTGGGCAGAAATCAGTACATGCTCTCTCCACAGCCAGGGGGAGTTTTCTGTACCACTGCAGACCCTGACCTGATTTCTCACCCATGAAGAGAAATACAATTTTCTTACTCTCCGCCAGTTTTAAGGATAATGATATAAGGCAGCCTGCTTCCAGGGAGCAAAGTCCCTTATTTTAGAAATGAAAAAAGCTGAAGCCAACCATTTCATTTCTTACTAAGTCTAGAATTCTGATCCCTCTTCTGGGTGTATAATGTGTTCGGTGTAGAAGGGGGGATGGAACACCAGGAAGTCTGGGACTGCAGGAAAGAGCAGATGAGCTGAGCAGGGGCACTCTTCCCAGGAAGAGAGGGCTGCGATCCCCTCAGGACCTACAAGTGGGGCCCTCAGTTCTGATGCCCTTAGGATTTCCCAGAGTTCCAACACAGAGGGTATTGACTCTCATGAGTCTCCCAGATACACAGGCGGTATGACCTCGCAGTGGGACCTTGAGCTTTACAACTACAGGAAAATAAACAAGCCAGCACTACCCACTTTTGAGAAATAGAAATAGAATTAGGAATTAAAATGGCAGAATCACTATCCAATCTCTTAGCCGTGTGTGTATGTGTGTGTGTGTGTGTGTGTGTGACAGGCAGATGGAGACAGACATGTACACATGCAAGCGACAGAGTGCTCATAACTGAGATGGGCGTTACAAATTCCATAGAAGAGGCTTCAGTTGGGTTTGCTCTTCATCTGTGCTGCTGGAAGGTTGCCATAGAGTGGAGTTGTCCAGGCTGCAGGCGACTGGCTCCAGTTGCCCTCAGAGATTTCCCAGAAATTACATCCCCCAAATTCATTCATAGAAATTCCTGCAGCCCGATGTCTCAATGGAGCTGTCCAAGAGCTGGGCTATAAGTCCTGACTTGGTAACTTCTAGCCTATCAGAAACCCACCACAGGTCCCCTGATCTGTCTACCGGTGTCTGTGAACTTATGAACACAATATACTTCGGAAATTCTTTTTGCTGGCTGGTGATCTATAATTTAAAATACTCTTTTTCATATAAACAACATTCAACAAATGCCTATTGAATGCTAGCTGTACAAACTGCTAGGGATACTGTACATTCCCAGATCAACCTATGAAAACCTATTTAATCATTTTAAAAAAAGAAAAGCAAAGTGATTTTTGTGCACAGAAGAACTGTATTCTGAGCTCCATATTGGACTACCTGGAAAATAGCATTCCCTGCCTTGGCATTGGTTGTTGAAAGTCCCACCTGGTCCCTGAGCAACTGCAATCACAAGTGAGAAGTGTAGAAACCAGTATTTGTTGGGTGCCTACTGTATGCCTGGCTGGGCTTGCATTTTACAGGCATCTATGAAATAGATACAACTGCCCTGATTCTACAGATAAGGAATCCAAAACTCACAGGTTGAGTAAGTTGCCAAAGGTCACACAGTTCTTGAGCTAGAACTTGGGTCCAGTTGTAAATACCAAAGCCCGTGTTCCTTCATCCATCCATCAACTGACCACTTACTCTGGCCTTCACCAGCAAGGGTGCAGCAGCATGAGACCAGGACTGAGGGTACTCTGGAGTGTTCTGGGCATGCCACTGGAGCCACACAGAGGTGAAGTCTGCACACAGATAGATAAACAGACAGCATTATATATAGACTCGTAGGTCTGACATTAAGCTCTGAAAACACCAACCAAGCTAACGACAGGGCCCACTGCCGCCATCCACCTGGCTGATTGCCCTGGAATCCTTAAAAGCAGCCATATACTCAGGTCATCTGCACTCAGCTGCGAATAAGAACCCTTTTATCTCCGTGTGTTTTCTAGGCAAGAAGCTGTAGGAGCCTTGTAGGAGGAAGCCAGAATGTGAGTAATGACAGAGTTGCTTATGTAATAGAATCCACACTATCTAGGGCTCGCGAACTTCTCTGGGATCCAGGGAGCCAAAATCTTTTGCTGCATTCTCTTCCAAGTTCAGCCAAGATGTGTCCTTTTGGGCAAGCCCATTATCTTCTCCAGTTTCCTGCGGTGGCGCTCTGCCCCTTCTTCCCCAACAGAGAGACCCCCAGGAAAGCTGCAGAGCTACCATGAGGGGCTGAGTGGTGACTGCTCTATCCCCCTGCCAATTCCTCTTCACTTCTAGATGCCACCTCTGCATGTCGTCATGCCCCCATCTGTCCCTCAAATGTCTTTAACCTCACCAGAAGTGCCTAGGATGACTGCCCCCCTACCCCGATGCCCAGCCAGGTTACCATAGCCTCTAATTATCTACTGTGTGCAGAGGAGGGATGTCAGCAGCTTCTACTTAAAAAGAAATGTCTCAGCCTGGATACTTGTTTTCCAATTCCACCTCCACCACTAATTAGTTCTGTGTCCCAGGAAATGCACTTACCTCTCTTGACCTCAGTGTCTTCATTTGTAAAGCAGGCATTAAGCCAGATGTCTCAGAAAATCTTTGCAGTTTCTGATTTTGATCCCCTTACCTAGGGATCTGAGCCACCTTACTCTTTTTATTTCATAACCTTAGGAATGGCAAGCTCCATAGGCTTACTGACATGAACTGCACAAACGTGCATCGTGACTGAGGCCCTCCATGCACCAGGTCAGGCCTTTTAGTGTCGGTTCTCTGAGGAGCACCACTGCAGCCCCTGCAGTCAAACAGTGTCTCTAACTCCCCCTCTCTCCCCCGCTACCCTTCACTCCTGCACCGTCTCCCCAACACTCCGTCCACTGCTCAGTCCAGCTTGTGGAGGATTTCTTCTGCACAGCAGGTGGCTGCCCACTAAGCAGTCCCTCCCGGAAGTTAGAGGGACCCAAGTGGAAGAGCAGACTTGTTACTCACCCCATCTCAGCCTCAGGACAGTTTTGCTCTGCTCCACACGCCCTGCGTGGGTTGGCTCCTGTTGCTAGGAGAACCTGACCATTTGCATTTCCTGCTGTTTTTATTTTAGATTAGCAGCCGCACTGCTGCAGGAACACAGGGTATTTTAAGAGAGATGGAAAAAGAAAGGGTGAGGGGAGAGCCTAGCATGGGCCCTCTCTGTGCAGGTCTCCCTGACATTCAGGCCAAAATGACAATATCCCAGATGCCATGTCCACCCTGGCCTCTTGCCTGCTTTTCCCTGAAGAGCACTGTCACCCAGTCCTGACACTTTATAATCACCTTCGAGCCACACAGGTGTAGCACACAAAAGTCAAGCCTTAAAATCAACCACATGTGCGTGCACACACACACACACACACACACACACACACACACTGCCAGTTTCCCCATGTTAAAAGCCTAACAAACAGAAACACTCCTAGATGGCATGTTTAGTCTCACATCTGAGGTTTCCAGAGATGGCTCCTGCTTTCTCCTTGTTCATTTCTCCTGTCCCAGGCACTACCCTAAAGATAAGAGCATGACTTTTCCTACAAAGCCTCAGACAAATTCGTGTTACCTTCCCTGACCCTCTTTTGTTCTGTTAATCTCTCCCACCCCCGTTCTAAAGATCCTTATAACTTATTACCATTTCTTTTTCATCAAATCAGTAATCCAGTCTTCTGTCTCCGACCCGAGACTCTAAACTCTTGGAAGCTGGTGTCTGGGTCCTTTGTCTTGTTTACTCCCATCTTACCTCTAGAGAATCTTGCTCAAAATAGATGTGCATTAGCATTTTTAAAATGTGTTCCCCAACCACCCCGCCGTGCCCCACAAGTGTGTACTGAGCCCAGCTAAGAGATGTGAACCATAGGTGGTCATGGAAGCTTCTCCACCGCTAAGGAGGAAGGCAATTAGACAGTATTAAGCTGTATGGTGAATACTGGAACAAAGGTGCACAGAGCCTCACAGAATCACCGGAAGTCTCCTGGGGTGGCACAAAGGAAGAGACAATAGTTAAGAGAAACCAGGAACAATTTGACCAAATGGACTCTTGGGGGAGTCCACCATGAGATGACTATTCCAATCAAACAGAACGTTTTGTGCCAAGGACAAAGACCTAAAAAAGATGGACTGAACTGAATATCTAAGACCCTCAGATCCTACCAATATCCACTAGCTCCTCCCAGGCCCACAGCCCAGGCCCTTCTCCCATGGCATCTTTCCAGAATAGGGGAAGATGTCTTCCTCTCCTATGCTACTCATTTTAGGCTGAGAGGAGTAATGCACTACCATGAAGAATGTAATTCCAGAGGCCAAACAAAGCTGTTCTTTGATATACATTGCAAAGTACCACACCAGGCCATATTCCTCCATGCACAAAAGTACCTTTTGAGTCACCCTGCATATAGCCAGTCCCTGGATAGAGGATAACCCTGCCAGTCTCACTTAAGATGAGCAGACTCTGAAGACCAGTTGCAAGCTCAGAAGTAGCTAAGGGGACCCAAACCAAAGCAGCATTTCAGCTGCAGGGGTCTTCCTTCCCTAAACCTTGCCTGGGCAGCAAAGCATGCAGACCCTCTTAACATCCCTCTTCCCCCGTGCGACAGACACCACAGTAGAAATTCCACGTCATCTACCTTAATGTCTCGTTTTTTCTTATTAAAAAAAACTGGCTTTATATGGAGCTGCAGCATGGTCAACTGTAAGATTATATTTCCCTGATTCTCGTGAAAAGGTATAGACAGCAATATGAAAGTAAATTTCTCAGCAAGCTCACGAATAAGACTTACTTACCTTTCCTTCCTTCTGTCCTTTTCCTGTTTCCTGCCTACATTATAGATGTTCAGCTAAGTCTAGCAATCATTTGAAACTGTGGGGCACCTCAGTGATGGGTGCCACTTGCTGTGGAAGACAAACATCGTCCTTGCAAGAAATCCACAATTCTCCCGAACTCTGGTTGCAATACAGTCAATGTTACAAAGAATTTTTGATTAACCCTGAAACCAGTGTAGGACTCAGTTAAAGAGCTTTACTATGAATTGGGGGAATAACTCAGCAGCGATGGAACACTTGCCTAAGCACACACCACAGGGCTTATTCCCAGAACCACAAAAGAAAAAGAAAGAATTTTGCCTCATCCCAGCACAGACAGGTTACCAGGAGATGTTGTAGACTTTGCCAAGAAAGCATCTTAAACGCCACAGACCCCACCCCCACCCCAGCTGCACTGGGCCCTGTGATCCACAGTGCGAAGAGACATGGATTCAGATATTGGATTTATGCAGCTTATTTCATTCTTGTTGCTTTGCGTGTTGTTTTTAACTAAATAAAATCATAAGAGTTTTGCATCCAGAAAAGAAAAAAGAACCCTGCCTTAGGGAAGTGAGAGGAACCAGCTCTAGTCCAACCCTTTAGATGCTTGCTGTCGCTGTGTGGGGAGCCTAGGACTGTGCTGTGAGCATGTCCTCCAAGACCTGGCACGCCCTGTTTCCTTGGCACAGCAGCAGCCAAACTTTGCCTCTTTCCCTGATCCTCCTGAGGCAGGGCCACAGCCGCCACCCATCTCTCCTTGCTTCCTCCCTCTCCCCAGCTATTCTCCTCGGGTTGCCAATCCCACTCCAAACTCACTTTATACCTGCAAGGAAATTAACATTTATGTTGGGACAGAAGTGACACTGCTCAGTTCTCACTGTCATTCTGCTCTTAATTAATATTTAACCTCAGAGAGATTGTGTAGCAGACGGAAGTGGCTGATGGGAGAACAAAGCCCCGGCTGGCTCTCCTTCCCAACACTGCCTCTCCCACTTCCAGCTCCTCTCCCTGCACCAATCAGCCCTGAAAGACCCCCGAACCAGGGGAGGATAGGGGAGGAAACTGAGGACCCCGGACCCAGCCTTACAGATTTGCTCGGTTTGACCTCGTGACACAAGAACCTTTCTGCCACAAAATGAGAGCAGATGGTGCCTGGAACCTGATTCCCAATGCCCAGAGCTCGACCCGGTCCCAGCATGCCAGAAAGGAGGATGAAGAGACAGGCAAAGGGGAAAGAGAAGCAATGCAAATTTGCCCCTCAACAGATTATATTTAATGCACTATTTTTAGTTGCCTTCAATCCCTCGGGGCTGTCAGGGCGGTTGCAGCCCCACTCCCCCGGGAGAGGAAATGACAGGCATTATTACCCAGCCCAGGAACACTGGTGCAGTGCGTGGTGGGTGGGGGAGGTGCTGCCTTGCCAGCTTCAAAATTTGGGAACTTAACTTCCAACGAGAAATCGAGGACACAGAAAGGGATGCAGCGCCGGGACCTCCTCCTCTGTGCACAGCCAGTCAGCCAGCTCAGCCCCACGTCCCTGTCCACTGGGCCCAGACCAGCAGTGTGGGAGTCTCCTCAGTCCCCAAGTTGTCTCGGAAAGTAGGTTATACAACATCCCTCACTGCCAAGTTCTGCCTGCACTCTAATCTTAGCGCTGCCTCCGGTCTAAGCCCATTTCCCCTTGCTCTGCACACAGAGGCAAAGGAGGACAGCTGGTCATCATCCCCCAGTCAGATCCCTTCTTCGTGCTGAAGAAAATGACTCAGTTTCCTCTCAGCCCTCTTATCTAACCTGAGTCATTTCGGTGCCTTTAACCTTTCCACACATGTCATTTTTTTAGAGCTCTTCTTGTTGCTCTTCTAACCCTGATCTGAATATACCCATTAAGTCCCTCTTGAGAAGGCTGAACAGATGCTGAGCTATTCCCCCAAGGAGCACCCGTCGAGTGGAGGAATTTATTACCTGCAGTCCTGGAGAGGTTTATCTCACCTCTCTGCAAGACCACTTCTGTGATGTTCTTCCGCCTCCTCTGTACCCAAAGCACCGCCAGCTTTACAAGAAGTGGCACACAAGTTCTCATGTGTAAGTTACACCCAAGCACAGGCAAAACTTTTTTTGGCAGAGTACTTATGATTTACTTTGTAAACTATGCAATGACATCTAACTTACAGTATTTATTATGGTGTTAGATACCAGACCTTTGGGGAAATGGTTGTATTTTTAACCATAACTTCATAAGCAATACCACTATATTATAATCATTCATTCAATAAATATTTATTGAGCTCCTACCATATGTCAGGCACTATGCTAGCTGCTTAGATGACAAAGTGAAAGGCCAAATTCTGGTTCTGCAGGTGTTCACAGCCAAAGAAGAAAGACAATGACTAGGCAAAGTGATAACTGTAAATAAAGCACAAAAAATGATAAGAATTACAGGGAAGCGGAGGACTGGCTGCAACTTTGTGTGATTCTGTCTTGCCAGGCATTGGTATGGGACATCCCTTCCTAGAGTTGACCCCCCTCTCCCTGAGTCTGTGTGCTTCTGGAGTGCATGTCAGTAACACAGGCATGCTACTGTATGGATCTTGAGCGGTCAACATATGTTAGAGGCTTGGTGACTAACCTATGTCATTTTGGAAAGATGGCAGAACTTTAAAAGGTGAGATCTAAATTGGTTGTGGTGACACATACCTATAACCCCAGCACTTTGGGAAGCTGAGACAGAAGGATCACAAGTTTGAGATCAGCCTGGCAACTTAGTGCCTTAGTAAAACCTAGTCTCAAAATAAAAGAAAAAGGAGGACTAAGGAAGTAACTCAATTCGAAGGCCCTTGATTCAATCCTCATTACCACAAAACAATAAACTAATGAGAGAGACACAGAGAGAGAGTTGAGACTTCATTGGAGGAAGTTACGCCATTGGAGCTGTGCTCCAGAAAGGGATTCTCGGGTCACGGCCCCTTCTCTGCTTCCTGGCTCTCCTTCCGGGCTCCCTGCTTCCACCATGATGTACTATGCTGCCACAGGCCCAAAGCCACACAGCCAAGCAACCACAGGTCCAAGCAACCAAGAAACCATGAGCCAAAATAAATCTTTTCTCCTAATTTGATCATTTCAGGTATTTTGTCATAATGGTGCAAATCTAACACTATACGCAAATGCTATTCAGAGCCCTTGCACAAAATTTCATATCTGGGGACACAGAGAAAGATGGTTTCTTTTTCTTTTGACAGTTTGGGGTGCCAGCAACCTCCTTTCCTGCACCATGACAGATCTAAGACAGACAGCCT